TAATGTAACAATTCACTCCGGAGAGAAATCATATAAATGTCCAGATTGTTCATATGCAACAGTTCGGAAATCAAACCTAAAACAACATATGAAGACACACTCTGGAGAGAAACCATATAAATGTCCAGATTGTTTGTTTGCAACAGCTAATAAATCATACCTCAAAGTACATATGAAGACTCACTCTGGAGAGAAACCATATAAATGTCCAGATTGTTCATATGCAACAGTTCGGAAATCAGACCTAAAAGTACATCTGAAGACTCACTCGGGAGATAAACCATTTAAATGTCCAGAATGTTTGTTTGCAACAGCTTATAAATCATACCTCAAAGTACATATGAAGACTGAGTCTTCACTCAAGACTCACTTGGGAGAGAAACCATTTCAATGTCCAGATTGTTCGTATGTAACAGCTCGGAAATCGAGTATATCAAGTCACCAGAAAATGCATGCTGAATTAAAATCATTAAAATCTTTATTCTGAGTTATTCCATTCTCTTCACTATATTCACTAAATATTATAATTTTAATGATGTTGTGTCACGTGTTAAAATGATAAATTTTATCTGAACATCTGAAGTGTTGTTTTAAAATACGATGAATAACTAGAGTCTTTAATTTTAATCTATCCTTTTCAGTATTTAGATATTTGAATTTGGGAATAACTTGCCGAATAAAATAATTTCAAAAACTTTCATATCATCTTAGACACAATTTTGTAGATTATACATTATTTCTCATGCCCATGTTATTTCTCACTCCGGAGAGAAACCATTTAAATGTCCAAATTGTTCGTATGCAGCAGTTTGGAAATCAAAGTTATTAAGACATCAGAAAATGCATGCTAATTAAAATCATTGAAATCTTTATTCTGAGTTATTCCATTCTCAAATCAAACCTAAAAGTACATCTGAAGACTCACTCTGGAGATAAACTATTTAAATGTCCAGAATGTTCATTTGCAACAGCTAATAAATCATACCTCAAAGTACATATTATGAGTATTCACTTGGGAGAGAAACCATTTAATTGTCCAGATTGTTCGTATGCAACAGCTTATCAACCATGCCTCAAAGTACATATAAAGACTCACTTGGGAGAGAAATCATTTAAATGTCCAAATTGTTTGTTTGCAACAGCTAATAAATCATACCTCAAAGTACATATGAAGACTCACTCTGGAGAGAAACCATATAAATGTCCAGATTGTTTGTATGCTGCAATTCGGAAATCACACCTCAAAGAACATATGGTGACTCACTCCGGAGAGAAACCATTTAAATGTCCAAATTGTTCGTATGCAGCAGTTTGGAAATCAAAGTTATTAAGACATCAGAAAATGCATGCTAATTAAAATCATTGAAATCTTTATTCTGAGTTATTCCATTCTCTACACTATATATTCACTAAATAGTATAACTTTAATGATGTTGTGTCCCGTGTTAAAATGAATAATTTTATCTCAATATCTAAAGTATTGTTTTAAAATACGATGAATAACTATAGTCTAGAATTTAAATCTATCTTTTTCAGTATTTAGATATTTTAATTTGGGAATAACTTGCCGAATAAAATAAAGTCAAAAACTTTCATATCATCTTAGACACAATTTTGTAGCCTTAATTGGATGTACCTAATTATAGGAAATTATATACATAGATATGTAACAATATCTATAATTGATGATAATTTATATACGAAATAGTTTACAGAAACATTAATTATATGACCTTGATTATACATTATTTCATGCCCATGTTAATAAATATAGTTTCTGGAATGCAATTGTCTTCTTTGCTTATTAATAATGTATGTTGACTTAAATCTCCGATGTCTGACTTAATGCATCAATCAAAAATTTATCTTGCAAAACACTGTATTGTACCAATAACCAAATTTATAATAGATGCACGGCACTCCTGATTCATGATAACATTAATACTGATTTTAAGTTCCTCTTGAATTATTTTATTAATTTAACCGCAATACTCTTCAGATGTCATGTCCTCACATTTAAAGCGAAGTAAAGACTGAAGAAGATGTTTTGAGAAACAAAACTGGAGGTTTTCTGTGTCGAGCATGTGGCGACCAACTTTTCTATGAGAAATATTTTATTGAACATGTCAGGGAACGTCATTATAAGCCTGACCTACAAGTACTAGAAAAGGATAAGGAACAAAGTTTGTTCAGTGAATTTACTGGAGGGTCTGTTCATGAAAATGGTTACGTTACAGAACAGGATGGTTGTTGTGTTCAAAATAGATGTGATGTTGTTAAATCAGAAGTAAAAACGGAGCAGATAGAAATTAATGGCATGTCTGGTAGCTTTCTCTGCTCAGTTTGTGGGGGAAAGTTTCAGGAGGAGGATAGTTTCATTAAACATATCAAATATCACGTAGAAAACTCTGGCAAACGAAAAAGATCAAAATGTGATGAATTTCAAAATGATAATGATAATTTTAGTCTAGGATCTGGAATCAGGAATAGATCGGACAGTGGTTGCATTCCTCTGGAAAATTGTGATCCTGGAGAAAATAGTCGTGCTACTCTTCAATATAACGTAACAATTCACTCCGGAGAGAAATCATTTAAATGTCCAGATTGTTCATATGCAACAGTTCGGAAATCAAATCTCAAAGCACATTATATTATGAATACTCACTCGGGAGAGAAACCATTTCAATGTTCAGATTGTTCATATGCAACCGCTCTGAAATCAAACCTAAAAGTACATTTGAAGACTCACTCCGGAGAGAAACCATTTCAATGTCCAGATTGTTCATGTAAAATCCGGATTGGAGTATTATTTATGAGTCGCATTGTTGTAATGTATTCTGGGTAAAATTATCTTTATCCCAGTTGTTGCGACAAGTAACAAGAAATGCGGCCGCTTTTCTTTTGTGGATGGCCGCTCAATTTCCCGATCCGTGATGGCGTATTTATCATATTCCATACAACCTGGGGACGGCCCAGTCTTTACTGTTTATATAAACATGCAAATATGGCGAAGTGACATGCCGACTGCCGAGCGCCGCCCAGTTAATATAATTCTATATTGAATTTGAAAATCGTGTATACTTCTATGTAACCATATGTTTATTGTTTATGCAACCTGACACGGATCTGTGCAAAATAGTAATACTAACTCAAAATAATAATAATATGCTATCAATTAGTGCCTAGTGGGATACGTACATGATGAAATTAATAATGTACTTGGTTGGTTCAGCGCCGCGCGCCAACAATTATATAATTCAGATTATCTCGCAAAATAACTTTGCGCAGGTAGTCACGTGGGCGATAACAGTGCTCGCAGGCACGTACGCACGCACGCACGGTCGCAAAGCTACCATATACAAAAAAAACCTCGATCGCTAACCCTTGTCCTTGACTCTTTTGTGCCTTCGGCACGAGTCATGGATCGGGAAAAAATGCTCTTATTAGGGAAAGGAGATTACTCGACGTGTCAATGTAACTACATCGTATTCATGATCTCAAATTATTTGTTATATAGTAGTGTTGAAAGTATTAAAACTAAGATTTGTTCATATACAACAGCTCGGAAATCAGTTCTTAAAGAACATACGACAACTCACTCGGAAGAGAAACCATATAAATGTCCAGATTGTTCGTATGCAACAGCTCGGAAATCAAATCTACTAGGTCATTTGAAGATTCACTCGGTATATAAACCATTTAAATGTCCACATTGTTTGTATGCAACAGTTCGGAAAGCAGATCTCAAAGATCATCTAAAGACTCACTCCGGAGAGAAACCATTTAAATGTCCAGATTGTTTGTATGCAACAGTTTGGAAATCAGATCTTAAGATACATATTACGACTCACTCCGGAGAGAAACCATTTAAATGTCCAGATTGTTCATATGCAACAGCTCGAAAATCAGTTCTTAAAGTACATACGACGACTCACTCGGAAGAGAAACCATTTAAATGTCCAGATTGTTCGTTTGCAGCAGTTCAAAAATCACGACTCAAAGAACATATGAAGACTCACTCTGGAGAGAAACCATATAAATGTCCAGATTGTTTGTATGCTGCAGTTCGGAAATCACACCTAAAAGAACATATTATGAATATTCACTCCGGTGAGAAACCATTTAAATGTCCAAATTGTTCGTTTGCAGCAGTTAAAAAATCACGACTCAAAGAACATATGGAGACTCACTCTGGAGAGAAACCATATAAATGTCCAGATTGTTTGTATGCAGCAGCTCGGAAATCATACTTGAAAGAACATATTATGAATATTCACTCTGGAGAGAAACCATTTAAATGTCCAAATTGTTCGTATGCAGCAGTTCGGAAATCAAAGTTATTAAGACATCAGAAAATGCATGCCAATTAAAATCATTAAAAATTTTATTCTGAGTTATTCCATTCTCTTCACTATATTCACTAAATAGTATAACTTTAATGATGTTGTGTCACGTGTTAAAATGAATAATTTTATCTCAACATCTAAAGTATTGTTTTAAAATACGATGAATAACTATAGTCTAGAATTTAAATCTATCTTTTTCAGTATTTAGATATTTGAATTTGGGAATAACTTGCCGAATAAAATAAAGTCAAAAACTTTCATATCATCTTAGAAACAATTTTGTAGCCTTAATTGGATGTACCTAATAGGATATTATATACATAGATATGTAACAATATCTATAATTGATGATAATTTATATACGAAATAGATTACAGAAACATTAACTATATTACCTTGATTATACATTATTTCATGCCCATGTTAATAAATATAGTTTCTGGAATGCAATTGTCTTCTTTGCTTATTTATAATGTATGTTGACTTAAATCTCCCATTTCTGACTAAATGCATCAATCAAAAACTTATCCTGTAAAACACTGTATAGTACCAAATTTATAATAGATGCACGGCACTCCTGATTCATGATAACATTAATACTGATTTTAAATTCCTCTTGAATTCTTTTATTAATTTAACCAGAATACTCTTCAGATGTCATGTCCTCACATTAAAAGCGAAGTTAAGACTGAAGAAGAGGATTTAAGGAGCGAAAATGGAGGTTTTCTGTGTCCAGCATGCGGCGAACAACTTTTCTATGAGAAATATTTTATTGAACATATCAGGGAACGTCATTATCAGCCTGACCTACAAGTTCAAGAAAAGGATGAGGAACAAATTTTGTTCAGTGAAGTTACTGGAAGCTCTGTTCATGAAAATGGTTACGTTAAAGAACAAGATGGTTGTTGTGTTCAAAATAGATGTGATGTTGTTAAATCAGAAGTAAAAACGGAGCAGATAGAAATGAATGGAGAGTCTGGTGGCTTTCTCTGCTCAGTTTGTGGGGAAAAGTTTCAGGAGGAGGATAGTTTCATTAAACATATCAAATATCACGTAGAAAACTCTGGCAAACGAAAAAGACCAAAATGTGATGAATTTCAAAATGATAATGATAATATTAGTAGTCTAGGATCTGGAATCAGGAATAGATCGGACAGTGGTTGCATTCCTCTCGAAAATTGTGATCCTGAAGAAAAGATCCGTGCTACTCTTCAATATAACGTAACAATTCAGTCCGGAGAGAAATCATTTAAATGTCCAGATTGTTCATATGCAACAGTTCGGAAATCAAATCTCAAAGCACATATTATGACTGCTCACTCGGGGGAGAAACCATTTCAATGTTCAGATTGTTCATATGCAACCGCTCTGAAATCAAACCTAAAAGTACATCTGAAGACTCACTCTGGAGAAAAACCATTTAAATGTCCAGATTGTTTATACGCAACAGCTCGGAAATCACACCTCACAGATCATTTAAGGATTCACTCTGGAGAAAAACCATTTAAATGTCCAGATTGTTTATACGCAACAGCTCAGAAATCAAACCTCCAAGATCATTTAAAGATTCACTCTGGAGATAAACCATTTAAATGCCCAGATTGTTTGTATGCAGCAGCTCGGAAATCACATATGAAAAGACATATGAGTACTCACTCGGGAGAGAAACCATTTAAATGTCCAGATTGTTCATATGCTATAGCTCGGAAATCAGATCTCAAAGATCATCTGAAGACTCACTCTTGAGAGAGACCATTGAAATGTCCAGATTGTTTGTATGCAACAGCTCGGAAATCAAACCTAAAAGTACATTTGATGACATACTCGGGAGATAAACCATTTAAATGTTCAAATTGCTCGTATGCAGCAGTTCGGAAATCAAATTTATTAAGACATCAGAAAATGCATGCTAATTAAAATCATTAAATTTAAAATCTTTATTCTGAGTTATTCCATTCTCTTCACTATATTCACTTACATATAACAGTACATGTATAATGAAAACTCATTTGGGAGAGAAAACATTTGCATTTAGGGGCCATCTACTTAGGACGTCCGGCAAATAGGGAGGGGGTGGTTCTGGAATTTTGGACAAATCCGGACAGGGGGAGGGGGTGGTTTCTGAAAATACGGAAGTCCGGAAATGTTGACAGAATTAACGAATAAGTCCCATTTGTTTCAACTCTTTGACACTAATTACTCTGTAAGTTAAGATCCCTGTATTTTGAACAAGAACTTAAATGTAACTGTGCTAAACTTGTTCGACACTTAATGTATTATTGTCTATTTTAAGTAACTACTCATTTTTTTTAATGATAGTTGGTGACGAAGTGAGAGTGTCCACTCAGTGTTTCAAAACAAATTAGCTGTCGACGTTTCGGCATCATGCCTTTGTCATTGATCGACCCACTCATAAGGTCATATGAGCGAAGAAAGATTACCAACTACACATTTTATTAACAATGAATTTGAGTTGGATTTATTTGTACTCTTAAGAGTAGCTGGAAATCTGGACGTCCGGAGGAGGGGGGGGGGGGTAGTTTTGAAAATTCGGATACACCCGGACAGGGAGAGGGGGGTGGTCTGAAAATCTGCAATTTTTGCTGACGTCTTAAGTAGATGGCCCCTTAAATGTCCTAATTGTTTGTACGCAGCAGCTAAAAAGTCGAATTTACTAAATCACCATAAAATGCATGCTAGTTAGAATCATTAAAATCTTTATTCTGAGTATAATTCTCTTTTTTATCATTATTGTGCACATTATGTGCACTAAATAGTGTAATTTTATGATGTCGTGTCAAGTGTTAAAATGATTAATTTTATCTGATCATTTGAAGTGTTTTTTAAGACACCTCCTAGTATAGGACGTAATGATATTTGTTATTTGTTACGAAATACTTTAATTTTATAGAAACATTTTCAATAATAATTGTGATGACGATTTGCTTGTTTTCGTTCGTTTGTTTGTTTGTTTGTTTGTTTGATTGTTTGTTTGTTTGTTTGTTTGTTTGTTTGTTTGTTTGTCTGTTTGTTTGTCTGTTTGTTTGTTTGTTTGTTTGTTTGTTTGTTTGTTTGTTTGTTTGATTGTTTGTTTGTTTGTTTGTTTGTTTGTTTGTTTGTTTGTTTGTTTGTTTGTTTGTTTGTTGTTTGTTGTAACGTACTGACCGATCAATCACGAAAATGGTAAGAGTTATGAGACTGGTTTTTTTTCGGCCATGGTTTATTGGTGCTGGCAAAACTCTGACGAAGCGACATAATTAAAGTTTCATCCGACAGTCTTTGACTCTTGTATTTTGGATCTCAGATAAGCCTTCGGAGTCAGTACAATCACTCTTGGTTATCTGGTAGGTAGTATTTACTAGGGCAAAAATTAAATATTTATTAGTGTCGTTGAACCCAATGATACCTTCGTTAAGTTGCTTTTTGATACTCGGTAAAAGACAATAAAAGGAAATTTGAGTCTGAAAGTTAAACAAGTTAACATGTTACTTTAAACATATATTGATAAATATAATGAACATTTTTTGCTATTCTGTATTCTGGAGTCGGAGATGCTTGATTAGATGATATGAAAATATTTTGAAACTGCTCTAAATTTATTTGAAAAAATTTGCTAAAATTTGTCAAAGTTGTATACCGCCATGCATTAACTTACTCGTTGTACTTTTTTCAATTTATAAGTTAGTTTATTTTATTCGTGCCAACACCATCATACCTCCTCTCCACCCTCATGCAAACTGGTAGTTGTCAAATTCAACCAGAAACTCTCATAAATCAGCTCAACTGGTGATAAATATACAAAACTAAACATTCAGCGCATTTATTTAATCTAAAGAAATGTTCATTGATCATTCCAAATTCTCCAGGAATTCATGCATCAAATTTTTATGTTTAATGGACAACTTTCTAGGGAATCAATTTCATGCAACACTATTTATTTGATTCTTACCCTCTGCTAAAATATATTGTATTACTTTAATGTAATAATATACAGTAAGTAATTTTTTTTTAAACTTTTAACGAATGCTCTTTCATTTAGAAAATTACATATATTCTCTAAATTCAATGGCCCATGAAACATGCAATCATCAGAATACAAATAATCCCTTTTAATTTAAAATTATCGAATTATAATAAAGACATTTTCCTCCAGACCTTGTGTGGAAATGTTCTTCAGTTCTTACCACTTGACTGGCTATAATATTAATAAATTGTCTTTGTTGAATGTGGCTTTCAGCTTCCCATCAGACAATGTAATTTACCTTGAACGTTCGACTAATCAACCTCAGTTCTTTAACTTATATAGTCCAAGCAAACTCGACTATCTGTTCGGTTCAATTCACTGTTTTTTTAACATAAGGACTTCCTTGCAGCATCACCGTCCACACAGCATTGTCTTTAAAACCACCGTACATTTGATCCCCACTATAATTACACTCAATATTCTCAGAATAAAAAAGCTTATCAGCCCTCTCTGGAGTCCCTCAAACTTGTGAGTTAGCACCGTTACAGTTGCTCCCCGTCTCACTGTCAGCCCTCTCCACATCTCTCTCCCTGATCTGAGGACTGGCTACCACCGGACTGTACCTCTGTTGGTCCACGTCCGGCATGTCCCCCACGTTTTTCAATACCATTGTTCTGTTTGGGTCGTCCGGGATGGTCGGGGCGATGCTTTTTATTTTGTTCTTTCCTTTAGAGCGGTACTTGCAGCGACACACCATGAGGACGATGAACGCGAAGAAAAGGACGCTGAATATCATGAGGGGCACATAGCCTCGTTTCTTTATTGGTTTACCTGAAACGTGTAGTGTAATGTGGGATATTCGTGCAATTGGATTGAGCAGAGTACAACACATGAAATATTCGAGTGTAACTTCAGTTTTTATCTTAAAATCTGCGAACCGTGATCAGTGTAAAATTCTAGATAATGTCATAAAGATGCCCTGAAATACCTTAAAATGTCCTAAAAAACCACAAAATATCATACTAAATGCTAATCTAAGATTACTCACCCATATTTAAAAAACCTCTTTAAACCCGTATCTGATACACCCAATAAAACTCTTACTTCACATCAACCCTGTCAAATTGTGTGTTGTTAACGTTTTATATAGATAATCAACGAATAAATCAAATCAATTAGAGACAAATTGTTTTGATAATGTTTTGGTATTTAAATTGTACATTCGTTTGGCCAAATTGAAGAATAAAATTATTAAAATTTCATACAAAAATAACTGAAATCGAATCACAAAACTCTGAAGGAAAATAAATGCAAGCTTAATCTGACTGATGACAGGAATTATCATTTCCAACTTAACCCAGTTCAAGTCAGTTCAAGTCATTTAAGATTTCCGGATATCAATGATCGACGTTATCCCAAATAACACGGTTAGTGGTTAAAGATAATACTCCAAAACTATCTAGAAAGCGTTAAAGCATAGCCACGTAACAAAATTATGTGTTTATTGATATGTATGATAAATAGAACTACATTGACTAACTAAAATGGGAATTAGCTCGAGATAGGGTGCTATAACGAATTAGGGTCGTAACAAGATAATGAATAGATTAGCGTCATTATGTGGGTGATAATTCTGCATATTTTAAGTTTAGGTCAATCATATTCAAAGTTTATGTCATATAAATCTACTGCGGTCTTCAAAATATCAATACTGACTGTGGTCTGCGTCGGGAATTAAATATGATTATCAATATCATGGGCCTGCGCTTGAGTTCTAATTGTGTATTTTGTTGCCCGGTGAAATTATAACCGGCTCTCAGTCGTGATTATCCTGTCCGTCCATGTTATATTGCTAATTCAGCAGCTGAGTAATAAATATACTAATATAGTAATATCTCCAGGGAGCTGTCAGTGTCAGAATAAACTGACAGAATTTCAGAAGCAAATTTTCAAGAATCCGGAGTCTCTAACAAAGGTAGGATTATATTTATAAAAACGAAAATGAAACGCCTGAAATAGTGACATGCTTCTATGGACTAGGTTTATGGGCATGCAGGTTTTGTAATTTTTATAAAATCTGAAGGTGCTAATTGATGATAATTTGCTGGTATGCGCTAAATTTCACCTGCAGAGTTTGTTTTAATCTCGGATTGAAAGTGTCTGAAAGAAAGCACTAGACTTTTATAGTCCGACTTGTGTGTAGGACTGTGAGTTGGACTTGCTGCTTGTTAATACAAGAAATGATTAATTAAATAGAATTAAAGACTATGTCATATTATGTCAAAACCGCAATGATTTTGAACTCATCGTCGTTCACATATTATGTAATCAATATTTTAGCAATTTTTACCCCCATCCTCGGCCTCCTCCGTAATCAAAACCCCCCGCTCCTGACAGCAAAATTACGTAATCATGACCTAACCCCCCCCCCCCCCCCCCCCCCCCCCCCCCCCCTTTTTTTGACATTCACCCCCTGGAAAACACTTTTCTCTACGTTTCATGCTACCCTGATCATTATGAGCCGAAATCATTGTTATGATATCCGGCTGAGCACCTCCCCAACTACTTACTTTAGCAGCCGGATACCCGATCAATTCCTGAATTTTATCACTGCACTATCAGAGTGAAATTGAGTGGAATTTGAGTTAAAATATTGTCAAATCTTTCTTATTCTAGAGGGTAAAAAAGAAAATGTTGATTACGTAATCAACAGCCAACCCCCCCCCCCCCCCCTGTAATCAACCGTAATCATTTGGGAACCCCGGCCCTCCCCCTCGGCTGATTACGTAATATGTGAACAACCCCTAATTAATGGCGAAAATACGGACGGACAGCAAATTGGAATTGTAGCGCCGCAACAACTTCGAAGCCAAAGAAACTTCGAACGGAATATAAAATTATTAGATTATTATTGCCGCACTGACTGTCACATAAACCTGTATTGGCTGACCATTGGTCTCCGTAATGGTAAACAAGGCTTAGACGACAACCGCTCAACTAAAATGCATTCACACTTTTCGGGAATAAAATGTCATTATAAAACAGTTAATATGTAATACCCTACGCATACGGTTTAATATTCATCAACAACGCGACCGGTGTTTACAATTTGAATTACAACCATTGCACAAATTAACAATAATACATGATTTTGATCAAGCGAATTTGCAAGCAAATAAATCAAATAATCGATTGTTCGTCTGAATTGCAGAATGTCTTGCGGCCTTTATAACACTTAAAGATTGCAATTTGAGAGACCAAATCAGGAATATTATCATTTATTATTTTGTTAATTGGGCTAAGTTGTTGATTAATGCTATTAAGTATTAAGAATAATGATAAAATTATTATCAATTACCTATGACACGATTGAGCTGTCGCACATTACACTTGACAAGAAATTATTGCAAAAGATTGAACTCAATTGTACAAAAGTTCAATTAGCATGCCGGAAATAATAAACAAAACGCTTAACTGCTAATCAAAAAAGCACGAAGATAAGTTTCAAGGACAGTAAGCCATTAGAAATAATTAGGGTCATTAGGCATAACTAGTTAACAATATTGCACCTATGTGCCGGTGAGCAGGTTGGTTTAGAAATTACTGTATTTGCACGTGCCTGGTCCGTAAAACAGGCGTTATTATTGGATCTGTACGAACTCCGCCAATTTTCGCACATACTCATGATTCCATAGCACTCAATATACAAATGTGCTACATTCGTTATAGCGCTGCTGGCACATGGCCGAACTCACAAACATACGAAAGTTACAAATATTGCAAACTACAGCCTGAATTTATTAACAGCTGGATTCAGAAGGTATTTGGATTGAGAAAGTCTCAACAGTGGATTTGAAAGGTATAAGGGTTCAACGATGTAAAAATAGTCCAAGGCTGACGTATTGTAGGGTGATGTCTACCAGTGGTAACTCCAACTCATTTCTCTCTGGAGCACATTCGTAATGGTATGGTCCATTTAAATTAGATTTTAGGACGGGAAATTTAGCTAAACTGCACCCGTTTATAGCTCGTTAAATAGGCTATATGATTTCCCGAAATTAAAAAGCCTTAAATTTACGATTCTTAATTAAAACTAGTTCTGTATATCCACACATTTAACTCCTTCCAAAAGTTTTTAAAAAAAGCTAAAATAATAATACACCACATAATATACCTACACCACCAAAAATAACTTCTACTGCTAACATAATATTAATTCAATATGTGACTAAATAACTAAGTGCTGTTCCTGATCTTTGGCCAAAACAGGATAGGTCTACTGGACTTATAAAATCATTGCCCAATATCAGCACAACCGAGCTATGATTACACTGATAAAAATACCACCACAAATTACAACAAATCTGCCTCAATAATTCCGATGACTCATGATTGAAACACTTGTGATTGAAATAATTATCAGACATGATCTCAAATCTATAACGAGGTGAACTGTGGTGGCCGTTGCCAACTGGGATGTCTGATCCAATTCTAGCTATGAGGTAGTTTCCCAAATATTAAACGGTGGATTACCTGCTCTGTTAATAGATTTTCTTTTTATCTTCTTGCTTCTAAATAATATGCACATTTTTAATAAACCGACGCGAGCCAACGTTCAACAATATGCTCCGAACGTTTTGTATTGCAATAGTTGTCACGAAAGAAGGAGCAGTGATTATAAAACACTAGTACATGAGTAACATGACATGGAGGCTACTAGTTCACTGCTGTGATATATCTCTCTTTGACAAAACTGAAAGTAATCTAGACTCGTCCGGTAGTGGTCGGTACGTGGCTGTCTTTACTAATGTACTAATGGACTGCCGGACAGTACAGAATACACATCTGATAAAGCAGCATGAACATGTTGGCTTATTTCCTAGTCCTTAATTGAATTAGTCAATATTTACTGTAATTAATCACAATATCCCCGGTCTATACCCCACTTGAGTAATTCATCTGGGAAGATATCACGTGATTCAGAACTTACAAAATTTTGTTTGCCTAGACAAGAACAAATTATTCCTCTTCAACATATTTATAAATTTTTGGTTAATTAAAAGAATGTGCTATACCAGAGGTATCGTAAAAACAGCCTACGTCGTAAAACCAATTTGAGTCAAAATATAGGTTAAAAAGCTTCCACCACATGTATGTAATGATGAAATTGAGTATTGTATATATGAGTACGTCAACCAGGATGACGGCATCCTCACAGCTTATCCGACACCTAACAGCCCTCTAACTAACCGAACTTTGGAGTTGAGGAATGGCTCAATGCGAACCTAATTCTGGGTGAACCATAATGCACCAGCAGTGAATCCTCGCCCGCCGGCCGCCACAAGCATTGTAAATGTAAAAAACTGTGATGGTAGTTTGATTTGCCTCAGCCAGGATGGTGGCATCCTTTCAACTTCGACACCTTACGGCCCTCCGACTATCAGTATCACTAACCCAATTTAATTGTGGTTGAGGGATGATTTAGGGTGGACCTAATTTTATATGGACCATAATACACATAATATACATAACAATACTTATGCAATGAATTCGAGCCCGCTACAATTGGCCATGTACATTAAAATTCGTGCGAGTAAAGTATCTTCCTGAAAAGAATCACGGCAAAACCAGGAGACGAACAAAATGATTGAATACATATGAGATGAGAGGTGGCAGCTAAGAAGCGTTCTGTAGAAGAAGTTGAAGTGTCGAAGTTTGGTTCAAGCAGGTATGGAGACTACTTGAGACAGTCTCCACCAGGCTGGCAGGTCTCCACGAGCCTGTGGTGAGAGGGGAGAATGTAGGTACGGGTCAAAATTCAGTAGCCTCCTGCTCTACCAAGCTACTATCGAGACGAAAAATGTCACATTCATACCTTCATGGCTCAGTGGTGACTGACGATCCGCTAGCAGCCGCTGAACTTGGATGAAGAGGCGTTATTTGGCAAGCGAGTGCTCTAAAAATGTCGAGTTTGGGAACTGTAGAAATGTGGAGGAGTGTTCTGGAAACTTAAAAATACGTACGAGCTGTTGAGAATAAAAGAGATAGTTGAGCTGAACTAGCAATGTGGTGGTTAGCAAGTGAGTGTCGCTTACCTTTGTTAGAAACACAGTGATTAGAGCTTGTGAAGATT